AGGCAGCTGGTGCTGCAGCCACACGGCTAGGTCCAGAACCCGGGCCAGTCAGCCAGCCCCGAGCCAATCGTCCTCACAGGAGATCAATGTTGCCTGTGCTGCAGCAAACACCAGCGCAAAGATGCTCGTGAGCAGCCTGCTTGATCTGCCCAGGGCTTGCTTCTTTCGCCTTTTCATTTTTCTCTGTAAAAGTTCCAAACCTCATTTTGTCTGCAAGACCACTTTTCACGATCCTCTGATTCCTCTCATGTAGCTCAGCAGCAGCTATGTTAGAAGAGGAGGTTCAAAGGAAAGCGGATTTCCCTCTCCCACCTCACGAATGATTTGGACTTCCAGGTCTGATAGATGAGAACGAAAGCCCAGAAGCAGCTGCTCTGCGGGAGCTGGAGGAAGAAACTGGCTACAAAGGTGACATTGCTGAATGTTCTCCAGGTATGTACTGCTTTCCAGGTGTGCACTTGGGAAACACTTATGAAAATGAGCCAAGCAGTAGATTCTTCTGTATGTAAAAGGATTGATTCAAAATTCAGATAGCTTTTATTTTGGCAGATTTACTAAGAGAAACCATAATTAGATTTGGTCAACATTAAATGTGATCTTCCCCTCCCCATGACAGCAGGTTTAAGAAAGAAGGACCTGAAGTTGGGAGAATTATGACATCATGTTGCCCCCAGAGTGCTCCACATTCCAAGCTTTATTAGACTCACCTCACCCACGTCCCATGCTCCTCTCTAGAGGAGCATGATGTGGTGACGGGAGTTCACAGGATGTCAGTACCATCTTGTTTCACTTGATGTGGTGACAGGAGTTCACAGGATGTCAGTACCATCTCCCCCCTCAGCCTTACCGAACTTTACTCAGGAATTCTGGGGAACCAAGGAGTACTGACCCGTGTGTGCTCTACAGACCTACAGCATACACTGAGTGACAAGGGCAAACTGCTTTCCCCGCATAAATGTGTTAAATAGGATCTATGAGCCCAGTCTTCTTCCATGAAACAAATGACAGCTGACTGGTTTTAAAGAGGATCTGTTGCTTCTCTCCATAGCTGTATGTCTGGATCCAGGCTTGTCAAACTGTACCACACACGTCGTGACAGTAACTATTAATGGAGATGAGGCTGAAAATGTCAGGCCGAAGCCAAAGCCTGGTAAGTGCGCACTGGCCGTTTAAAGTAGTGGAGCTGCAGCACATACCGTTCACTTGGCTCGTTACTAGTTAGATTTTTGATTGGTTAAGAATGGTCTTTTGCAGATGTTTCATCAGTACTCTTGGCTACTTTCATAATTCTGTGTATGTGAGCATTTTTCTTTTACCCCTTTATTGATTTTTATGCTTTGTGTAAAATATTAAATTACATATTTCTGTATTTCCTGTATGTTCACTTTCTTAGTAAAATGTGCTACAGGCCTAAATAGTAAACAATGAGAATCTTCAAAGTCACTCTGATTCCTGTCTTCGTATATGTGTAAGAATGGTATAAGTGTTTATAGGACTGCAGCTGATTATTCCTTTTTGAGTTCCATATTTAGAGAAGCTTTTAGGAAAGTCTTTGGTCTATATCTTAGGAAGTCTGGTTTCAGAAGGCTTAATGCCTCTTGTCAGTTCCATGTCCTCGCCCATCCCCTTAAAGGTGTCGATACATAACGCCACCATAAATCAGAGTGACAGTCCTCCATTTCTCAACCTCTTTAGTTATTCCTAAGTGTTCGATATCCCACTGCAGCTAATTTTACATGCTCAGTTTTCAAACTGGCAAACGTACATATAACGTTCTGTGGAAGAGTTTGGCAGTTCCTCAGAGTGAAACGGAATCACCATATTGTCCGGTAATTACACTGCTAGGTAATATACCCAGTTACACTCCTAGGAATTGAAAGCAGAGACTCAGATACTTCCACACCAATGTTCACACAGCATTACTCACAATACCCAAAAGGTGGAAACCAGCTAAGTGTCCATTAACAGATGGCTTAGAAAATGTGGTATATACATACAATGGAATAGTATTCAGCCATCAAAGAATGAAATGTGCTGATACATACTATAACTTGGGTAAACCTTGAAAACACTGTGCTAAGTGAATTAAGCCAGACAAATATTGTAATTCTACTAATATGAGGTACCTAGCATCACACATTTATAGAGATAGAAAGTACAATAGAGGTCACCAGAGATGTGAAAATTCGTGTTTAATGGGTACCAAGTTTCTATTTGGGATGATGAAAAAGTTCTAGAGATGGATAGTGCTGGTGATTACCCAGCAATGTCAATGTATTTCATGCCACTGAATTATGGTTAAAATGGTAAATTTTATGTTATGTGTGTGTGTGTATATATATATATATAAAAAACATATAAAAATACATATATACATGTTACAGAATATACTTTAAATTTTGCTGTCAAACCTTTAACTTGGAGAACAATGATAACTTTGTACTTTTGGAATTTTCTACCATGTATATGAATTAAATTAATAGAGACACAGGCTTCTGTTAAATTCTTACAGCCTTTTTGCTATGCCTTACGCAGTAATCTTCCAGTGTTTTACCACTCCAGGCCTTGCTAAAATGTTCTCCTTCTGTTTATTTTCAGGAGATGGAGGTATGTCACTCAGCTCCCAGTCGCTGACCATGCATATGGCTTAGAGTCTTGGTAGTGGCTACCAGCATCTGTGTTGTTCTGCTTGCTTCTCCTGTTCTTTAGTTTTGTTTTCACTTGCACTTTGTTTGTTTAGAGTTTGTGGAAGTAATTTCTTTACCAAAGAATGACCTGCTGAAGAGACTTGAAGGTAAGTATTCTTAAGGTTATTACTCAACTTTCTCTATTTTCCCCATCCCCAGCAGAGAGATACTAAATATAATTGTTTCTTTATATTCTTCCTCATTAAAGTTAAATACCTAGAAACTACTGTAAAACTGCAGTTGACTAATACTAATTTTCCTTTCCAGGTGGAATAGAGTTTGAAAATATGAGCAAAACATTCTATGTCAAGTGAAAGCTTCCAGTAAAGGCTTTTTTTCCCTCTATAGAAGTCAGGCTTATTTCCCCCAAACTATTCTAAACCTTAAATCTTTAATTCATGGCAATACAGAGGCATAAGTAGGTATCTCTTAGTTGATTTTTAAATATGCTATTATGTTATATGGTTCTTTGTGTAGGGTAGAAGTTGAGAATTTAACAATTTTCCTCCCATAAATATTGCGGTATCCATTATACGCTAAGTGTGACATGCTGACATAATGACCAATACTAACTAGCAATGTGACTATTAGTAAATTACTGGTCATATAGTTATAGTATGTAATTCCTGGCCAGCCGATCTCAGGGCTTTTGTAAATAAATAAGCTTATGTGGATAGATATCCTTTGATGTCACTATACTAGAACATACTGTACTGAACGTGACAAGAGACCCTTCAAGGAGGTCCCTCTATGCCATTGGGTGGGGGGAAGGAGAGGTAGAAGAGCCAGTTTTCCTAGCTTTACTAGAATCAAAACAAGGTAATCAAGTCATTTCTTCAACAAGTAACATTGGAGAAGTTGGAAAAAGTATTTGGAGTTAAGTTTGCTAAAAGGAATAGCTTTCAACAACACATGCAGACAAGCAGGACATAAACCCTGCCTTGTGGATCAAAATGTTTGAGCTTGCTCCTAAACAAGTGGCTAGGGAAACAGGCAGATTTGAAGTCTGATAACCTCCATCTCAATGAAACAGAAGTTTTCATCAAAGCCCTTTGTAATAAGATTACGAGATCTTTATAGAATTCTAGCCGTCTCATGCACAGTTAACTTGAATGTAGAAAATATGCATCTCCTAGCAGTGGGAAAGACACATGATTCCCTAAATAAGGTACTCAGTAGTCATCACTATATAGTTGCAAAATAGTGAGCTATAAATGAAGTAACCATTGGATCTATAAAGCTCTCCTGCTTAACCAAAATCTTCTCTGTTAATAGGTGCTCCTGTCTTTATCCTTAATTTTTTCTTGTTCCATGCTAGAAGTGTAATCCTGCTTTTATATCCTTTATTTTTCCACTAAAGATTTTTGAAGGCAGAAAATGTCTTGTTCACCACTGTATTACCAGCATCTATCTAGCATAGGAACTGGTACAGAGTAGTTGGTCAGTAAATATTTAATGATAAGGACTATTATCCTTTATTAATTTCACTGTCTAACTTGTATCCTTTGTTTCCTGTAGTGCTGGTAACTGAAGAACACCTGATAGTGGATGCCAGGGTCTATTCCTACGCTCTGGCTCTGAAACATGCAAACACAAAGCCGTTCGAGGTGCCCTTCCTGAAATTTTAAGGCCAGAGAACAGTGGCCATGTTTTTGTAAATGAGGCCACCAGGCCTCCTTCACTGACTTTGCAGTCAGCTAGTTTAATGCAGATTTGAAATTAGCTTTTTCATAAAATAAAAGCAATAAAGAATGCATGTGGTGGTATGGAATTATAATTACAGGTGGGCTGTAGCCTTAATTTAAATGCTAAACTACAGCTAATAATGAAAAAGAACATAAATGCAGATATGTTTAATCCATTTTTTTTAACTTCAGCAATTACTTTTCTAATCTCATCCAGGAGATAAGAGTATTTCTATAGGAAAAGAGACCAGAATCCCAAAATAGGTCAACTATTACCACCCTCAACCCACAACATAAAATTCTGTAGCTGAGTATGCAAATTATTTCCTGCATTAGTTTTAAACGGTTTTAAAAGAAACATATAGGGACTTTCTTGGCCCCTCCTAATTGAAATTGAATCAACTATATGAAATTAACCTGCACAGCTGAGGATGTGGAAAATAAACTGAGAATTAACACTCGTAATATGCAGATGTTTACTTTTAGCTATTGTAGTTATAGCCACCTAGGCACTACAGAAGGTAACCAGCTTTTTGTAATGAAAAATGGTTAATTCCATTCACTATACCAAGTTCAGAGGCTAAATACACAGCTCTTCTCTAAGCATGTGGGCATATTTTAGAATCTCCTATCCTTACCTCAAAAAAGTATTTGAAGTTTCTAAAAACCAAATCTATAGTAATAAGATTCAGGGTATTATTGTCTTGGTGTTAAGTCATGAGTGTAGCCAGCAGAGTTAGCAAGAAACCCAATACAAACTATCTACTTTAAAAGGAAAAAGTAGGATTGTTTCTGGTTCCTGCCATGTCTAAAGCCCCTGTCATCCAAAAGGTCTACCAGGGTTATTAGGCCATCTTCTCACCTCTTGATTGACCTTGGCTCTTGGGTTGACTTTTATGGTCTCCAGCAGCTCCAGGATCATTGCCTTTCCAGCTCAGCTCCCACAGAAATCTCAGGATGATTTTCATGGGCCCTAAGCCATGATTCCAGCCCTGGACTCAGAGCCAGATAAAATCAGCATACTAATGCAAAAATGCTGCAATATATTTCATTTGTCTACAGGTTCACTGTCTTTTCCAGAGATACTTTTATGAGCAAAAAATAAGATCCTCACATTGTACTTCTCAAACAAGGATGGAAAGAATTATGGAACCAGAGAACTGTATAAAGTCTATTCTCCCTGTAAATATTGTGAAAATTAAGCCCCAACTACTTGCTTGAATAAGAGTAGGCTTCCCTGTGCCTCTAACTCCCTTTTTAAAAATCTTTATTTTTAAACATGGGCATCATGATTCTATAGAGGTTATAATCCTTTCCCCTAAACTCTCAAGGACTAAATCCTATAATTTCCCTTGTTACTGCCCTTCAAAATCTGGAAGAGATAAGCATATATAAAACTCAGACTCCAGCACAGACCAGTTTCTCAAACAGACCAAGTCTCCCAAAGCCGCTCTCTGTGGGAACAGAGACAGCTACTCTTAATTGTTGATGGACAGATATTTGTAACCCCTACCTGTCCTTCCTTTTTTCTCCTAAGAGTACCATTTAGAAGTGACAGCTAAATCTCAGAGCATACCCCCAATGCCATTTCTGTTATATATAAACATTAAAGGTTATGCTTTGGAAATTAGTCTGAGAACTGGCAGTCTGGCACTATTAATTTGTCAGCATTTAAAAGTTGAAGGTTTCCTATGAAAGCCCTATTTTTTTTACCTTCTCTCAAAAAAAAAAAAAAAAAAATTAGACATGACACTGGGTCCCTAGTTCTACCCTAACAATGGCCTGCAGCCTTTAAGAGGCATTCTCTGGTCAGCCAATAGCTGCTGTCCTGCCCGCTTTTATCTGCTTGCAATAGGCACTTCAGGATGGATTTTATATGAATACAATGAATTTGTACAAAACCTATACAAAGCGTTTGATAGCATATTTTTTTATTTTCCCAACGTAACTGAAACAGTTGTATTAAATAAAAGTTTATTGTCTACTGTTTACACTCATGTTGCTGCTATAAAGTACAATAATGTACACAGATTCCTAGCATGAATTTACTCATTGTTCACCCCCACTGAACTACAGACATTGCTTGAGAATTATATCTGCTTTAGGGATTAAAAAACAAAAAAAAAACCCACGGAGGGCATAGTATCTGAAAGCATTCTCAAGTGACTTGGAATTCGAAGGCATAGCCAATACAGTAAAAACAGCACCGACTGTGCTGTCACTGGGAAGGAAGAAGAATGGAAAACAGGAACAGTGACTACAAGCAGTGCTTTCCAATGACAAGTCTGAAACTTGATCTTGCCCATCTGGGCTAAGTGTCTGCTTTGAGAGGGGACAAATAAAAGGGGAGAGACGGGGAGGGAGGGTTGGAACGTGGACACTGAGTTTAAAAAGTATAAAAAGTAATTATATCTAAAATATAGATTAGATATAAATGTTCCAGAACTCATGAAATAAGCCCCAAAATACTGAAAAGTGGCAATTTGAACTATGTTTATTTTTAAACAAGTGGGGGGAATACTGAGTGTTGTGAATGTTGTGTGCAAAACTGACCCCCGTCACCATCTCACCGTCACCCCTGAACATGGCAAGGCAGGTACACTGGTTTCCAGCATCACAGGCAACACTGCTTGTACGTTTTCTAACGAGTAATGTAAACTTTAGTTTTAAGGCAGCTGGTACTAATGCTGCACACAGGCTTAGCTTGGTGCCCATTCCAGAAACGGGGCAGTTAGCACTTGAAAACAAACTGAGGGGAGAAAAGGGGAACCTGTGTCATTTGACAAACACAATGTGTCAAAATGTTTTCCCTTTCACGCTAACAGAAGTATTGGAACATTTAGAAAAACAAAGCACCCATCCCGCCTACTTCAGCCTGCTCCTTAACAAATATTTCAAAATACTGATATATAATAGTGACTGCGAGCAGAATTCCAGTGCCAGAGCCGATGGCCCCGAGGAAGTCGGCCAGCACCGACAGGGCGCCAATGCACAACCCACCGAACGCAGCTGCAGTGGGGATATACCTAGAAGACAAAACCGAGTCAGGAGGGAATGATGAAAAGGAGACATGTCTTAATATGCTCAAATGTAATTAATCCAACAGAGAACAGCCTGGGGGTTGTCTGTAGGGACTTCCTGACTGAGAGAAACCAGTAAATAGCCAAGGCGATACATGATTTTGATGGCAGATTAGAATACTCAATGGAGATTTAGTATTAAGATGTTTAATGTCATTTTTAAATGGATAACCTTTAGCTCCCTCTTCTAGATAAAGAGTAAATTTCAAAATGATTTCTAAGCATCAAATTTATGTGACACGATTTGGACGATCCTCTTCCAACAGTAACTAAACCTTGGCTGCATGTCAGAATCACCTGGAGAACTGTTAAGAATGGGACTGTATTTATGTATTTAAAATACTCCAGAAAGAAAAAAAAGATTAGGGGAGATGGTAAATGAAACAAGAATGACAGAATGGTAACTACTGAAGCTGGACAGACTTAAGTACATGGAGATTCATTATCCTATTCTCTGCAATTTATGTTCCCAATAAAGTTTAAATAAAATAATGCCTTTCAACAAAAGATCATGAGACAATTGAATATCCACATATAAAAGGAATCTGGAACCCTATCCTACACCAAACAAAATTGGTTCAAAGTGGATCACAGACTTAAAAAGTTATGAGCTGAGATGCCAAAGGGAAAACGAGTAAATCTTTGGGTTAGGCGATGCTTTGTTAGATACACCAAAAGCAGCACAAAGCATCCAAAGACAAAACAGATACACTGAAGTTCATTAAGATTAAAAACTGCATCAAAGGGCACTATCGAGAAAGTGAAAAGACAACTCACAGAATGAGACAAAATATTTGCAAATGATACCTGCCAAAGACACATATCCAAAATATTTTTAAAATCTTACAACTCAGTAACAAAAAAAAAAAAAAATTAAAAATGAGCAAAAGATCTGACTAGATATTTCTCCAAAGACAAAAATGGTTGATAAACACAAAAAGATGCTCAACATGAGCAGAGAAAAACAAATCAAAACCGCAATGAGGTATCACTTCATCCCTACCAGGTGGCTATAAACCAACAGCAAAAACTAGTGCTGGAGAGGATGTGCAGCAGTGGACCCTCACCTGTGGCTGGTGGGAATGTGGAATGGTACGGCCACTCTGCCAGACAGTGGCAGTTTCTCAACATGTTAAACAGTTACAACATGACCTAGCAATTCCACTCTGAGTGAAATGAAAACACGTCCCCAAACCTTATACAAGTATGTTCATAGTAGCATTATTCATGATGGCCAAAAAGTGAAAACAACCCAAATTTCCATCAACTGATGAACAAAATGTGGTCTATCCATAAAATGGAATGCTAGTCACAAATAATGGGTGGCCCCTGAAAACACTATGCTAAGTAAAAAAAGTTATTCACAAAAGATTACGTATCATATGATTCCATGTATATGCAATGTCCAGAACAGGCAAATCTACAGACACAGAAGGTAAAAAGTTGTCTAGGGTAGAGGGGATGGAAGAGCTGGGTAGGAATGAGAATAACAGGTATGAGATTTCTTTCTGGGTGATGAAAATGTTCTTAAAATTAGAGTAATAATTACTCCAAATATACTAAAAAAAAGGAAAACTAAACGATATACCCCAAATGAGCGTACTACATGGTGTGTGAATTACACCTCAATAAGGCTGTTACTGAAAACCAAACTGATGCCTAGGACCCACTAAGGCCAAATAAACCCCAGTTCCTGGAGGTAAAGATCAGTATTTTCTGAGCTCCCAGGTGATTTTATGTACAGCCAGCCAGCCAACAGTGAGAACCTCCTATCTACAACATTTTAACACTTAGCAGTGAAGAGAACGCAATTTCAATTAAAATAATTTCGGTGTCATTTTGATATAAAAACCAAATTCAGTTTAAGTTTTGGTCCTTTTGTGTGAAGTAGAAGAAAAATGCTTCAAATATGAACATAAATAAAGAATAATATCTGGCAATATATGAGGATTGAAAAACCGAGTCCATGTGTACATGTGTCCCCTCCCCCATCAAGGATTGAGTCCAATGACCTTACCTATTAAGCTCATGAACCATAGAGGTATCTCTGTGGCCCCTCATTACCATTTGCTGTTCTTTAAGCTGTTTAGCTACCTGCCAAGAGAAACACAAAACTTCTCACTGTTCTGTGTGAAGTGGTTTCCACATACTAACAAGTGAGGTACAAGAACCTTGAAGTAAACACACCCCATTAGACCTGAGGTGACTAGGCTACAATACTGCACAACCACCTTGCACATATTAAACCAGTGTTTCTCAGACTTTTATTAAGTTTCACATCCCTCAGGAAAAATTAAATACTAAGGAATAAGATTTTGTCAGGTAAGGTTGTGCATTGGAGGGTCGCAAAGCATTATTGTACAATCTATAAATGTTTCACTTCCAAGAACCAATTTTTAACCCCTGGTGGTGACATTATGTCATTAAGAATGTATGAATTAAAGTTTAAATTACAAAAGTGATTAAGAGTGTATTGATTACCACTTTGATTATAAATTTATAAATTATTATTTTCAAAAAAACCCAAATACTTACATCTTTAGCTGAGGAACCAGATACTTCTATCCACGTCTTAGAAAAGAATGCACATGACCCCAGCATGAAGATGATATAAACAACCACATGGACAGGATCCTCAAAGATGGCGCCCATGGACTCAGGAGGAGACAGGTAATAACACAGGCCTCCCACTGGGTAAGAGCGAGCAGGCCCTCCTCCACTAACGTCCTACAGAACAAGGAAGAAAAGGGTAAATGGCCAACCTAACTGGTCAAGCATACATTTTTATAACTTTTCAAACTCCTTTAAAATTATGAAAATGTTTTAAGCTCAAAATGCTCATAGCTAATGGATGGCTCTATATAACTTATAGATTTGCTTTTGCATCCAATATCTTTACTCCTTAGAAATTATATACTGGGCACCTCTTACATAAAGATTTGAATATATTAACAGAAGAGTGATTTTTAAAAACCAACATTATAATACATCTGTTAGGAGAATCTTCTCTTTCTGAAGTTAAGAATGTGATTACATTTATAGTCAAGGTCTGGCTACATTCAGAATATGACATTTTCTGAATTATATAAGCGTATGCAACATATTAAGACCCTTACATATGATTCTTTCATTTCAAAGTATTCTATTAAGAATGCAATCAATTGAAATGTTGACAGAAGTCTAACGACTCACTGCCAAAACTTATTCTTGTTTGTATAACAGTCTTTTAATAAACATTTATAATGCGATTTTTATCCATGCAAATATTTAAGAAATTTTCTAGTAACAGAAATGGGAACAGCATGTATTTGCTCATATTAGATAAAGGTTTTGGGATATAGGGTGTGTGAAAGCAATTTCAGGTTCAAATGATTAAAATACCTGATTTCCAAATTTAGAATTAAAATGATTTCTTTACTGTGCCCCTGGAAATACTATTTCCAAATCAAAAGCACTGTTTACAGACAAATTCAATTTCCCAATAATTCTCTCATGAAAAAGAATCTTAGTCAAGATCACAACACACGCTATACAACCATTCAATGCATTTATTACTTTGAAATTATTATCGTAAGAATTTATGCTGGACTATAAGCTCATGAGGGGAGAGAAAGATTCCTCCCCTCATCATGGGTAATTGAAGTTCTGTTACATGAATAAAAATGGAAGCAGAACTTCCTAATACATAGAAACAAACACAGGGAGGCAGCCAAAGTGAGGAGACAAAGGAAAGAACAGGACAAAACTCCAAAAGAACTAAACAAAACAGAGGCAAGCAATCTACCAGATGCAGAGTTCAAAACACTCTGGATGGCTGAAAACTTCCCTAACCTGGCCAAGGAAATAGACATACAACCCCAGGAAGCTTAGAGAGTCCCAAACAAGATGACCCCAAAGAGGGCCGCATCAAGACACATCAATATTAAAATGTCAAAGGTGAAAGACGAAGAATCTTAAAAAGCAACAACAGAAAAGCAGTTACCTACTGACAAGGGAGCTCCCATAAGACTGCCAGCTGATTTCTCAACAGAAACTTGGCAGGCCAGAAAAGACTGGTGCAAAATATTCAAAGTGATGAAGAGCAAGAAACTATGATCAAGATTATGCTGCCCAGCAAGGCTACTGTTTAGAATTGAAAAAGGGATAAAGAGTTTCCCAGACAAGAAAAAGCTGAAGTTCATCACCACCAAACCAGTATTACAAGAAATGTTCAAGAGACTTCTTCGAGAAGAAGAAAAAAAATTTTTAAATATGTATTACAAAGTATTACAAAGAAAAAAATTCTCCCTGACAAAGGCAAACACTAAATAAAAGCAGTGGATCAACCAACACTAAAGTTAGTACAAAGGTTAAAAGTCAAAAATGAGAAGATAATGTGTAATTACAACAGTAAATTAAGGAATACGCATAAACGCACACACAAGAAGTAAAAAATAATGACAAAAACATAAACATGAAAAGGGTGAGTAAAAATGATAGTGACTTTGGAATGTACATCGAACTTAAGTGACCATCACCTTAAAAACAGACTGCTATAAACATAGCTTGGTATATATGAAACATACGGAACAACAAACCAAACATCTACAAGAGATATTACAAGACATAAAGAGAAAGAACTACAAAAACAATCAGAAAATAATAAAATATCAATAACTACATGCTTATCAATAATTATATGTAAATGGAATAAATGCTCAAATCCAAACAAGAATGAATAAATAAGATGTGGTACATATATACCACGGAATATTACTTGACCATAAAAAAAAAAAAAATGAAATCTTACCATGTAATAACAAGGACAGAGAGAGTATTATGCTAAGTGAAGTAAGTCAGACAGAGAAAGAAAAATACCATATGATCTCACTTATAGATGGAATCTAAAAAACAAAATAAATGAACAAACAAAACAGAAACAAACTCACAGATACAGAGAACAAACTGATAGTTGCCAAATGGGAGGTGAGGTTGGAAAGCTGGGTGAAAAATGTGAAGGGATTAAGAAGTACAAATTGGCATTTACAAAACAGTCACAGGGATGCAAAGTACAGCATAGGGAATATAGTCAATAATATTATAATAACTATATATGGAAAAATATGGAATCACATGAGCACAAGGCTTATCAGGGGGATCACTTTGTAAATTATATAAATGTCTAATCACTATGCTGTACACCTAAAACTAATAAAATATTAAATGTCAACTGTAATTGCAAAAAAATTTTAATGTAGCAAAAAGAAAAAGGAAAAGGAGTATTATAAAGGGAATGCTATTTCCTCCAACTAACATTCACTGTCTTATCGTTTAACTTTCTAAAAAATGACCTTCAGTAAAAGCAGAAAGATATCAGTCACTATACCTTATGATGCAAAAGATAGCATATTAAGATAAATGCATAGACTAAGCATCATATTTTAGGAGAATGACTAAAAAAATATAATATTCTTTAGTGGAATATAAATTCTAGAATTACGTACTCTGCAAAAGAACAAAGGCTCTTAGCCTTTTTTAATTTATAGTTTAAAGGGGGAAAAATACTCCTTAGAAGACAGATTTTAAATCAATCAAAACTCAATCCTACAATAACACTTCAATAACAATGTGACTGGACTGCTTTGGAAGCAGCTATGATGAAGAGGATCTATAAAAGGAAATCAGACTTTACTGGATTCTATTTCTAGCAACTCTGTTCTCTCTTCAGTCTAGTAATTACATACCTGTCTCCAGCCCAGTTAATCACAAACTATTATATTGCCATCTAGGCCATGAAATACAGGGGGAAACAGGAAAGGACGATTTCAGTATCCCATATATTATCAGCAAATAGCTTCTTTTAAGAAAACATTATTCTAGACAATAGAGGAATGAGATTACAAAACGGAATCATTTTCATGACAGCAACCTGGATTTTAGCCTAGAAGATCATTCAAATGAGACGTGAAAATGATTCCGAGACAGTAAAACAAAAGTATATGGTCAATCTTAGTTTTACAACACTTATCAATTCTTCCAAAAAAAATTAGAAACTCTGCTATAGGTAAGTGAATCTGAAAATGTTATAGCAACTGCTTCAATTACGGCTCATATCCCTTTCAGTTAAAAATATAACCATAAAATGAAAATTACAATAAATTTAAACTTTCAGAATAAATAACAAAATACTCACCGCCCACTGTCCTAGTAAATTAACTAAAAAGTTGCCACTAAACCGAACAGATAGCATCTGGGAAATAACGTACAGGTTTGACACCAAGGCTGACTGAAGAATAATGGGAATGTTCGAGGTATAGAAGAGCTTAATGGGATAGCTACTGTACTGTCCTCGATAGCGGGCCGACTTAATGGGCAAGTCAACACGAAATCCCTAAAAAGAGAAAATTAACAGTAAGAGGAACTGTATGTACCATGTAAAGAATACAAAGAGCCAAAACAGTAACAGCAGGAGTAAGGGAAGATAATGCTAACGAAACCGTCCCTTCCACACAGAGACATACAAATAGAAATTTGTTCCCATTTCATTTTCCTTCAATTTTTTTTATTTGTACCTCAGAGCCTAAAGAATGGAATTATTTGCTTGACTAAATGTGGAAAACACTGATTTAACAGATACTAACATTTCAAATGGCATTCTTCTTAAGAGAGAAAAAAAAACAAAAAACAAACAAAAAATCCCCCCAAAATGCATCCCACTTACTCCAGCAAAGAGAGTTTACTTACCTGGAAATATATAACAACAGCGAACACAAAAACGGTAGCAATGAGGTTCATGAGATTGGGTAAGTTCTGACGGTAGAAAGCCTCCCTTAAAGCTCGGACTTTGTCTGTCCTGGTGGCCAGTAAATGAAAGAGGGCTATGACTGCACCCTCAAACTCGGTACCTGATAAACAAGGGAGAATTAACTATAGACTTATCATCCAAAACTGTCCCAAAGGTCAAAACAAATAACCTTGAAACCCCAGTAAACAGCAGAAGACATGAGTCAAAATAATTCATCAAGGTTTACTTTCTGATATAGCCATGTGTGAAGCCACTATTAATATTTAGATCGCTGAGGAGGAAAAATGTATCGTTTTTAGCATAAATTGGAAGTTTTCTCAAGAGACTATTCTTGATGAAAACAGCCGAAGCAGAATAAACCAAAGCAAATATTTAGTTCATAATGCTTTGTCTCTCCTTCACTTTAGGGAAGAGAGAACTGGGGGTGGGGGAGGAGCAGCAGCAGCAAAGCAGAATAAAGAGGTCAGATTAAAAAGATGTGTTACTTTATCGAGGTTGCCTTTAAGTTTGTTTTATCGAGAACATTAACAAACCATCGTTGCTACTTTCTTAAGGCTGGGCTCAGTTTAGATGTTAATCGACTAAGGGGAAAGACAGAATGAAATATTTCAAAATTTAGGTGCTATTACTAAGCCAAGTAGAATAGCTGTAAAAGTTATTAGTGCTCCCTAATGATACCAAAAAAATGTTTTTTCATCTGAAAGATATTAATCCACTACCTTTTGAGCCCCGTAGGAATGCTGAAATCGGTCAAATCAAAGACTCCTGCAGCAATGGCGTAAGCAAATAGTTTTAAAAATGTTTGCAACCACTGAAATTTTAAACGAGCAGAGGCTAACATTTAGATTTTACTCTTTTTGAAGTAATATTTCATACTCCACAAATCTCTGCTCATTAACTCTTATTGTTCACTGGGACAGCAAACCAGGATGTCTCAGGCACGTACTGCTCCGTTACGTGTTACTTTTCAGCACACATCCAGCAACACTCGTGCAGTCACAGTCACTGTGCGATGTACCTCGGCCAGTGTTAATAGTAGTGGGACTAAAGGCCTTCCAGACAATGGTTTCACAGATGTTGGTGGCAATAAAGAGGGAAATACCAGACCCCAGGCCGTAACCCTTCTGTAGCAGCTCATCTAACAGCAGCACAATCAAACCAGCAACAAACAACTGTGGGGAAAGAAATGCAAGTAAGCGGAAGCAAGAAAAAACTCAAGAAAGGGGAAGACGAGCACCACTGACTACTTTCAAAGTATGGGCACTTGTAACATTCAAACCTAACTATTGCAGTATCACTATAATGACTCTGCATCTTTTAACCTGCTTTAGCTTAGTGAGAAGCCAATTCTGAAAATCAGAGGATTGGGAATATTGCTATACTATACAGCAGACATTTCAACTTTCAAAACAGACTTATACTCCATCTGAAGTTTCCCTTACAATGTTAAATAAGACTTATTGGAAAACGCACTAGAACAAAAATGTTCAGTTGCAGAATTTATGACGGCAAGAAACGGAACATACCCCAAATACCTCCAAGTAAGTGAAGGCCAAATGAATTATGGTATAATAGTAAGAAGCGTCTGCAGCCTCTTACAAAAGGAAAAGTATGTGAACTATTTTAAAAGTATTATATATAATACTGCATGTTTTACATACGTATATAATACTTATGAAATAAGTTAAAAAGTGGAGCACAAATTAATATGTACACAGATTATAAAAATGTAAAAATGCACTCTATACACATAATGACAAAGACTAGATGTAAATTTGAAGACAGTTAAGGGTTCACCAGGTTAAGCTCATAATTTTTTTAAAAACGAAAGCATTCTAACTTGGTTTTATGTGACATTGAAAATTCTTAATTTTCCTCTCAGAGAACACTTTTCTGTAAAAGCATCAATTAAAAATTGCCTTGCAAGCAACTCCTGGTCATGACTACCTTCCCTGTGCCTCAGCGACCTAGGGAAAGGAAATATGCTCTCCACCCACTACCTCACACCTGCCCCCACTTTAAAGACACCCCCCGCCGGGAGCTAGGAAATGCCACTTCCGATCCTCCCAGCTCTGAAGCAACCTCCCCACCCACTCCCCCCCACACATAACTTACTTGGTTTCCCAGATATCTCGATTTCCCAGATATCTCGTTACAAGAGAACAAATAAGCTACAGTACACTACTTTCTGCATGCCAACTCACACAGGGTTTCTTTCCTTTAACTGTCATTTCAATACTTGTACAGAGCCTAACTTGTCTATTAGTCTTTCAATTGATTTTCAATGGACTGAAAAAAGGGTACCATTCTCAAGACTTCTAAGCAAGCTCATGAATCCTTTACTGTTTGAAAACCAAGTCTGACATGTTGACAAGATAAAAGAGAAGTTAATACTACTGAGATTTTATTTTGACCACAATTAAATAATAAGTAAATAAATAAGTACTTCCAGTCATACAGAAACACAAGCCCATACAGGGAATAATAGCTGTCCACAAACTATCAGCAAACCAAAAATTATTATCATGGGCTTCTGACTAAATGACTGATTAAATGACCTGCCCAGAATCACCAGGGCAACTCTGAATCAGCTGTAATTCTCCAAAACACGTGTTCAGACCAATGTCCATCAGACTATACAGTGATTTGTGTATTGCTGTGAAAATCAAACTCATCCTTTTCCTAATTGGAGAAAAGAATTATAGAGAAACCTAAATAAGAAGTGGTTTCTATAATTAAAGAAATAAGATAAAAGAGAGTAAAAAGCATGCATGCCTATTAGAATAATGAGACACCAGGAAGTAACGGCATCTCACTGACTAGAATGGTGACAAGACCTAACTGCACGCTCTTGCAGAATGTACAGCATACATAACTCCCTAAGGTAGGTACAAAAATAACACCACATATTTCAACCCTGCACATGCATGTGAGTGCAAACACACAACTTAGTTTGACAAAACAATACTTACCTTCACTATTTGTCATGTACATTCACAGTTTCAATTCTTTTTTTTTTTTTTTAATTTTAATCAAGACCCACTACTTAGATTTCAAAACTCACTAGTTGAAAGACACTGACCATGTGAATGAAACAAGAATAATTAAAATGAGAAATACCTTACGTAACAACATGTAAACCATTTTTAAAATCTATGTTTCTGGATAAAAACACACTGATTCAATCATCTTTTCAGAGTATCCACATATTTTCAATGTTAACAATGCATTAAAAAGATGCAAATGTTAGATGTCCAGTGTTTAAATTAAGCAAACTTCTTTTCAAATGCCAATAAATAACTATTACATAACTTAAGTACAATCCATTCTTGTCGACTTCTCTAAATTATTTTTAAGGACTGTATAGAAATATCTACCAAAATTTACATACTTTTACTTAGTAGATGGATGATTATGAAGCCCTTTAAAAACTCCATTCATAAGTATCCATTTTTAAAAAAACCATAGAATACGTGTATGGGCATTTATATGGTATTTCACTGACTTGAAGATAGTTCTAATGCTGTTATTTTGTGTACCACTAGGAAAGAAAAATATATTGCCAATTAAGCTATGACACAACTTATTACAAAGAAATTTTCTACTGATAAAAAAGGTTATTTTAGATTTAGATATCGCTGTTTATCGTCTAGCTTGCTTTCTGTGCCTTGTGTACACACAGTAACTTTTCATTTCAAAAACAAATAACAGCAGATTTTTCGAAGACATTTTAAATAGCACCAAAAGCCAAATACATGTTATGTCAACAATGCGTATAACCAATTGATGATATAAACAGCTATGACCAGCTGACACACATATGCAGGCACTGACGACTATCACGACTGCCACCTGGCTGACAGCCACTGTACAACCGGACCAACTGTAAGAAAACATCCTGACTGAGAGGCATCAAAATGTGAAAAATGTGTATCTTAGAATCAATGAAATACAGCTGATCCATCATTCTTTATATTACAGAGCTATGAGGCCTTTAGAATAATTTTTAAATTTTCACAGCAACACAATTTATATATGTCACCTCAATAATCAAGATATTATAGTTAAATAAAATAATTCAAAAGTAAGTGAATATATCAATCGCCTAAAGAATTGTTAGAAAAAAGGGATCAAACAGTTTTGTTATCTGCATACGAAAAACAGGATTCCTTACCTGAATAATGATAAGGAGACAGATTCCAGCACCCATTTCGGCAGGGTCCCCATACATGCCCGTCATGACGTATACAATGGCTTGCCCGATGGTAATGATCATACCAAATACTGACAAAAATTGGGGGAAAGGAGTACATGCTTACAACCAAAGACATAAAAGACTACAGAAAAACATCTTAACCACAAAATTCCCAAATTTGGAAAAGCTCTTTAATTGTATTAATGCTCACGTTTCTGGGCTCCATTGAATAAAGCTCTGTCTTTGGGTGTATCTCCAACTTCAATAATTTTGGCTCCAGCTAACAACTGCATAATCAAACCCGATGTTACAATTGGGGAGATACCCAATTCCATTAAAGTTCCTGTAAAAAAAGAGGAAAGAAGTAAATAACCTTTACTATACACAATGCAGATTACTTTAAAAGTGTCCTAGTCCTTAATTAGGTCTACTGAAACACACACTTAAAGATTAACAAGCAAATTCTCATTCCTTAAACATTAATTGCTAAAAAAAAAACCCTCTCATTTATTAACATGACCTTGCAAGAATGCATTAAATAAAAATTACCATAAATATTATCATGATGTAAATTTCTATAAATTCTAAACTTGAAATGTTAAAAAAATCCTTTAAATCATCCAAGGTTTCAGTCCAAATCATTATTTTTAAAACTTTCACTAAACATTTAAATGTTTAAAATTTAAAATTACATACTAAGCTAATTAAAAAATAATATGTAAAAATACTGGTGACTCTTCTACTGCAAAATCTAAAATTGCATAAGAAGTCATCTAAAATAATGTTGTAGAATACTTAGTGGCATGAAAAATGTTCTTGACATCACACACTGAGGGAAAAAATTAGAAAATAGAAAAATATGGAAAAAATAGAAAACCCATAAAGGGGTTGAAAACCAAAGCTCTAGACGGTGCTAATCACTTTGTTTTCTGTTGTACCTCTATATCTGCACATATTTCTATAATTAAAATAAACACATGGTTTTGTAATTATTTAAATGCTGGTCTCTTCTCCAGGCAATGAGTTTCTTTAATGAGTTGCCACATTTTCAGATCTATTTGATATCAGTACTGGTATGGAGGCAAAAGAAAGAATGCATACCTCTGTTGGATGCAAGAATAACTCTCATCCAGTAAAAAGGATCTGCAGAATCAGATGACATGATTCCAAATAGTGGTATCTATAATATTACATAAAAATTTTATAAAAATGCTTTAAAATTTGAAATTATTTTGTAATGCATTCACTTTTTGAAATTATTTTTGTAATGCATTCATTGTTTGCGATACTTAATTTTAAAAAACCACTAATTCTCAGGTTTTTTAGCAAAACAAAGTTACTTTAAAGGTAAAGTTCTTTAATGAAACTAAAAATAACAGAAATCATTACTCATAACATTTGAGTAGTAAACATTCTTATCAATATGGAGATTTGTTGCACAGTATGAATATAATTAACAATACTGAACTGTACACTTAAAAATGGTTAAGATGGCAAATTTTATGTGTTTTACCATGATTAAAAAAAATACTACCAGTAAATTACAATACATACCTACGCAGTAACAGAATTTTGCAAAGCTATGGTTACTAATGACAGCCAAAGTCACACTCCAAACGTAAGACTGAGGATAATATAAACAGTGGAATATTATGCAGCCATTAAAAATGTGAAGACTGTAACAGCATGAGAAGTGCTTGTGTTGGAATATTAAGTATGAATCAGCGGTTCTCAATCTGGGGCAATTCTGCACTCCTCGGGGAACATTTGACAATATCTGAAGACATTTTCAGTTGTCACAACTTGAGGCAAGATGCTCCTGGCACCGAGAGGGTGGAGGTGAGGGATGCAGCTGAACATCCTACAGTGCATGGGACAGCCCTCCAAACAAAGACTTTCTCGGCCTTAAATTTACTGCCATTGCTAGGAAACCCTGGTATAAAAGGAAGGACACACAATTGTGTATATAAAGAAAAGTTCAACACTGTAAAAATATGTATAGAAAGTAACAAGGTATAAATATTTTTTAATATCCTAAACAGTGATATCTACAGGTGATGAGATTACGGTTGACTTTTCTTCTTTATTCTTTTCAGTATTTATCAAATTTTCTATAATGAGCACATATTACTTTTGAATGAAGGGGAATAAAAACCTTAACTTTGAATAATTCCTATTTTATGACCCATGTTTAGAGCACAGCACTGGGCCATACTTACTTTCTGACCTTGTGGGAATCAGACACAAAGAAAAAGACATTTACACTTTCAAAAACTTTCTCTTTATGAAGCTGATTGCCTTTTTTTTTAAGTTTTAAAAGATGCTGCCAGCAACTTTAAACAATCCATCTGGTCAACCTAAACCTTTGGACATCTGAGTTTATTAGCTGAAGAGCAAAACTAATGAGCCAAGAAGCATGGATATGCAGATACTCTTCTGCTAATGTGAGGGATGGAGAGGAAGGAAGTTATTGTAAAAAAATCAAATAACGCTATAGGATAGTCCGTATCACAATATTCCTCCAATCAGAAATAGGTCGATCAGTAAAATTATTTTCCTTATTTGCATCTAATAGAGACAGGCATTACCTCTGCAGTTAGATGCTATGTGGGATACTGAGCAAGAAAAAGTCTGCCAACCTCCCCTAAGTAATAATGTATTCCCTCCTCTCTTGTAGTCAACAGAATTAAACTCAGTTTCTAATTTTTATTCCTGTCAGTAAATTCCATAGCTACAGAATCATGCACAATAGTTAGATGGTAATAGGAGCTATTTCCTATGACTGTCACAGCTGCAGAGTCCCAGACTTCGCATTATATTACAAATAATAATCAATTTCAATTTGACAAATATAGTATAGTACTTCAGAGAAACAATAATTTCATGCTCTAATGGAAACCCTGAAGCAACCAGATGGACAAAGAGAAAATTAGCATGAGGGATTTCCAAAGGCAGTGGAAACTGACAACCAAGCAAGGTACTTCTTGGTTAAGATGGCAAGTTGTAATTAAGTTAGAGAATTCCTCCCCCTCATACACAAGAAAAAATATTTTTAACAACATGCAAAAAAGAAAAGCCAACAAGAATTTATGAATCTAAGGAAAGTGAAACAAAAATCCACAAGGCAGCCAAATAAGGAAGAGAATGATAAACTGAAAGCACCGGTGGTCACGGGGGGAGGGGGGCAACTGAGGACCGGAGGCTCCACACAAAGCTGCTCCCACCAGCGCAAAGGGAGGGCGACGGAACCGTCAGAATGCCCACTGCACTCCAGGTCCGGCCTGGAGGAGAGCAGGCTGCAGACACTGGTATCTGCCTCCCCTGGCTGGGAGGGGGAAGAAACAGCAGGTGAGAAGGAATTATGACAGAAGTGGGCCATGAGGCCCTCTCATGGGACTGGCGATTACAGGCCTACAAAGTCGGCAATGGAACAAAGCCCTCCCCAGCCCCCACCGGGCACTGAAAGAAAATCAAAGGCGAGCGAGCAGGCAGAGTCCCGGCAGCATTTACGCACTTATCTCACCTTCCGCCATTCCCTGGAGCTAAAGAAAACGGGATAAATCCATAGACACCAGGCAAGCCCTTCCACTGGCTGGAAGGGGGAAATACACCTGCTCAAGGTTCAGTGGACGGAGACTCAATATACCACCTGCACTGGGCTGAACTGCCAAAGCAGAAGAAAGACAAAGATACACAGCTCGGCAACTATGTAAACATATTATGAGGGAAAAAAACATAAAATGCATAAATTTACTACATGAAAGTCATGAAAAATTCCATACTTAAAGCCCTTTACAGAAAAATGTTTGCTGACTGCTGGATTAGAAAATTCACTATTGTCAAGATAGTAATTCTCTCAAAATTGATCTATAAATTCAAAGCAATACAAATCATAATCCTAGCAGTCTTCCTTATAAAAATTGAAAAGCTGATTCTAAAATCTACATGGAAATATGAAGACCCTAGAATTTTGAAAAAGAACAAAGCTGGAAACTAGTACGATCTGATTATAGAACTTAGTATAAAGCTGCAGTAAACCAAACAATGTGGTTTACCGTAACGATGGACCTACAGACCAATAGAATAGAAGAGAGCACAGAAATCGATCCATCCTTACATGGTTACTTGATTTTCAATAAGGATGACAAGGTAAGAACAGCCTTTTCAACAACTGGCTATCCAAGCAGAAAAAAGTGAACCCCAAAGGTATCTCATGCCATATACAAAAATTAACTTGGAATAGATCATAGACCAAAACATACAAGCTAAAACTACAAAATATTTATAAGAACACTGGAGAAAATCTTCACGACCTTAGAATAGGGAAAAATTTCTTAAGAAACAAACCATGAGCCATCAAAGAAAAAGATAATCTGAACTTCATCAAAATTAAAAACTTCTGCTCTTCGGAAGATATTAAGAACATGAAAAGGCAAGCCAGAGACTAGGAGGATTCATAATACATTTATCTGACAAAGGACTGTACACAGAAAATATTAAAATTACATATAATTCCATAGTGGACAATAATCCAATTTTTTTGAAATGGGCAAAAGATTTGCAAAGACACTTTACAAAAGATAAACAAGTACCCAACAGATGCATTAAAAAGTTCCTCAATACCATTTACCAGGGCAATGCACATTAAAACCACACCCACTGGAGTTATTGATATTAAAGTCCTCGACAATCAAGAGCAGGAAAGGAGGCCGAGCAGCTGGAACTCCTAAACATGGCTGGTGGCAACATAAAACTGGACGACTGGTTGGAAAAGTCTGACAGTTTCTTATAAAGTTGAACACATGTTTACCATACAACCGAGCAATTCTACTCTTAGGTCTTCACATACAAATTGAAAACAAATATCCACAGAAAGCCTTGTTCGTGAACGTTCACGGCAACTTTGCTGTGGCCAGAATTTGGAAACAGCCCAAATGTCCAATAAGTGACCAGAGGAAAAAACTGTGATGTAGGCATACAGTAAACATGACTCAGAAATAAAAAGGCATGACTCTAAAAAGCTGACGACAAAGTAACACTGTATGATTCCATTTATATCAAACTCCAGAAAAGATGAATCAAACTACAGGAACAGAAAGCACATCAGTGGCTGTCTAGGACTGGAGGTGAGGGGAGGATTTACTGAGACAGGTTACAGGGAACTTGCTGGAGTGACAGAAATGTTCTATATACACTGAGGTAGGAGGTATGTGGGTGTGTAAGTTTGTCAAAACTTTTCAAAATGTACACTTAAAAATGAGTGTATTTTACCATACATAAAATAAAGCTGATTCTTTTTTAAATAGAGGGGAAGGGGGTTTCTAAGACGTTAAAAGTAGATGACAGGGATATGAATTAAGCTTTTTTCTTTGTACTCTTCTATATTTTCAAAAAGTTCCCTCTCTCTGACCACCTAAATCAACTTAAAACTAAGTACAATAAAATAATAAATTGTTTCTCCTCAAAAAATTTATTTGGTTTTTCCCCAAATTATAAACTCAATCTGTTTTACTGCTTAATATAATTTTTAAAAATTTCCTTATATGTATTTCAATAGCTTTTCAAAATCCTCAAAAAACTTTTGCCTGAATTATCTCATTTAATCTTTACAACAACCCTGTAACACAGAGAGCTCACATTTTACCCTCATTTTATGAACTTAATCTCTGCAAAAAAAATTTTAAGGCATCACTGAATTTTATTAATTTATAAAAACAGTATATTCCTGGGGTTCCAATATTTGGCTTTGGGGAATTTTAAATTAATACATGTTATTTATGACATGATAACAGGCAAACAAAATGAAAAGAATATTTGCAATATCTACGTCGTAAATAAATTTTTAAAATCTAAAGGAAACAATGGGTAAAGATGATTAACTGAAAATCAAGAAGAAAAAGAATGTTCAAACCCACTAGTAAACCAAAAGAAAAACAGATAAGATAAAACAGGACAAGATAACTATTTTCACTATCAACTCATTAAAAAGAATAATAATGCTCAAAATAATTCAGCATATTTATTATTTTAAAATAAATTTCTCAAATTCTAACCAACCAAAACCTTAGAACAAAAGTACATTTATTTAATATTAGGGTTACATACCTGACAACATACTAAGAAAATGAAGAGAGTTATAGCAGTCCATAGTACCTTCTCTCTAAACTGGATCTTACGACAAAATACAAAAGAATGGTCAAAGTCAAGAAAGAGCACATATTAAGCAAAAATCCATATTAAAACATAGCCAACATTCCCCGTCATGACATACTCCTATCACCCTTAAAATACTCTCGCCATGGTTAGCAGTCAAAGCAAACTGCTGAACGAACTTCTCGCAAATATAACTTTCTTACACTTTTCAAGAATAAAGTAATTTAAATACAGGTAGTCCTCAACACACTGTCCTGTGTTAACGGAAACTGAAAAGGATACAAAGCAAGACAGAACCCCTAGGTACACACTTCAGTTAACCGCAGTGCTGTGCAAAGCTAGGACTGCATGTAATAGCATATGACTGTTTCAGAGACTATGAGAAGCTGGAGTTTCTTGGGAAGACTGACATGTAACTAGAACATCTATTTTTATAATCTCAAAGCTATAAAAAAGAAATATACTTCTAAATAAAACAGTGCGTTTAACAAAAGTTTTACTTCTCTCTTTCTATGTCCCTATGCCTGTTAGTTTCATGAGAAATCTAAATTAAAGTAAAAGAAGAATGTCCAGAAACTGCCAGTTTGAGATTAACAATATTTCTGGAGTTTAAATACCTTAGCTCTAAAAGTACACGATGATGGACAAACAATTTGATGCAGTCACAATATATTCTGAATGCATTTCTATGATTTTTCTTTATATTGCATGAACCAAAAAAGAGAGGTATCTACTTGCACAGATGCAATCCATTTATGTTAAACAGCTATACTCATCAAAACTGACCCAGCGGACAGGGTCATTCACAGTGCAGTGGGCCACATCATTAGCACGCACAGTGCCCATCCTGCACTAGAGTAATTATAAAGATCACCATAGACAGGAAAACACTATTATCTGACCTAACACACAGGCGCAAGAAACAGTTGGTTTTGAAATGTCAGAACTTAAAGAAGTTATTTTTAAAACCGAGAGATAACTCAACTAGATTTAAACAGGACTTTACTAATTTTAGTCACTTTGTGCCTCCTGCGAGGAGGAGGAGCAGGTAATATTTTCCAATTACAACCAGAACAGAGTTGGGGAAAGTAATCTTGCTGGTTTAGCAGAAAAAGTCCTTTAGGTACCCTCTATACTACTAAAATATTATACTTACTTTTCTTTCAGGTTTCTGAATTTCTGGTAATACTGCACAGAAAGGTTTGATAACTTCTAAAAATTTGACTGTTAAAAAAAAAGAATAAATGTCTCCATTACAAATTTTTTAAAAGAGATCTATCTTTTTACAGAATGAAATACAAATGTTCTCTAACTTTTAATGGCAATCCATCCCATCCCGACCCTCAAAATTAATTATAATGCTCTCCATTTCAAATATAGAAGGGAAAAGAAATAATTCGAGGGACAAAAGAATTCAAAAGGTTTAAGGACTCAGTAAATGACAAGTAATACAAGTATCCTTTTACCATGATTTTGCTTCCTCATGCTGTATCCAACCCAACCCTTTCATATATAAAGAAAAGGAATTTCAATGAGTAGTACTACATCAAAGAAGAGCAAATGCAGCCTACTATGGTACACAATGCATTCAAGAAGAAAACAGGATATCAGAGGAGGAATAGAGGAAGGAGGAAAGTATAAGAAACTGGCTGAAACTGCAGAAATGACTTTATTTAAACTGAAAGATGCTGCAATGAGTGCGTGGAATCATGGAATCGCCTTTATAGATGACTTTTACTTCATTTTACTAAGTCACTCATTGCTTGGTCGCTTTGCCACATAGTGATCTCAAAGTGCCTGCTTACATACAATAATCAGCCTAGAGAATGACAATTACATTTCATTAGGCAGTAATGTTTGCCCAGACTACTCTTATAATACATGAAAGTAAAATAAACCAAAGTTCTTTAAGGATAGACACCATCTTTTGGCATGACTAAAGTCAAATTCTGCCAAAGAACTGGAAGATGAAGATAATAATCTCTCAAACTTCAGTCTTTGCCAGCGTCTGCCAATGTACAGTAACACAAGAGGCCACAACTTGCTATTAGTTATGATCATCTACCCCTACAGACACTGGATTCTGTATACTAATATCATAAAATTGTTTTAAAACTGACAAGTAATTATACTTTCTAGTTAGCTAAAAGTCAACTACATTATCTTTTTATTCTTTTTATAAAACCTTTCAAAATGATGGCACTCACTGGCATTTGACAGGATTCAGAAATTCTCACTGGCAGATGTTTGTGACCCAAGTATCACTTTAGACCATTTGGAAAGTAAATATGAATTATGAAAGTGTTCACCTCTAATGCAAAACAGATAGCAATCACATCAGGAAACTTTCTAGAATCTCCTTACTCCTTTTCCTTCCCACCTCAATCCAAGCCATCCTCCCAGATTTCTTGGCATTTCATGATCACCTACCTTGGAGTGCATTCAGGTTCAAGCAATGCTTTTGTCTGCTACATGTCTACTCCTGCGTTGCGGACTTTTACCTCTTATACTGTAAATTCAAGATAAGTGCCTCCTCTACTTCCTTTCTAGTTTCCCCCAAAAGTCCACTAGTTGGCCAATGGGTGCACAGCTTCGGTGTGCAGTTACCCATTCATCCTACAAACATCTAAAGAGCTACGGAAACATATATGTGAATATATGTGGTGTTGTGAGTTTAGGAAAGGACCCTCAAAAGATCCCTATAACACAAGGCCTTGTCCTTAAGGCGTATACAACCTTACACAGTGAGTTTTCAGTAAACGCTAGAGAACGAAATTTTTAAGGAAAACGGTATGCTACCAATTGCACTCCGTTCTTCCCCTAAAATACATGCCATGCATCACTTTTCCAAAAATTAAACAAGTCAGGGAGCTTTATTCATCACAACTAACATGCCACGGAAGGGCGATTTGGGAATAAAAATATGAGCTTCTAAAACCATGAAAAATTCAAAGGTCTCTAGGTTCCCTAATTCCCCGCCCCCAAAACCAATGGCCTTCCGGCGCCGTCCTCTTCTCCTCGCCACCTACGGAGCGCCAACGCCGGGCCTCCAGGACCCAGTCGGAGCAGCCGCCCCGGACGAGGCCTCACACAGCCGGAGGAGCCTCGGCGGAGGCCTCCGACCCGCGCCCTCCGCAGCGACCCGCGGGCCGGACGACCCGGAGCGGCGCCCGCTCCACCGCCCGCAGCCTGCAGCCCGGCGTGCCTGACGAGAGCCCCGCTCCAGACACCACCCCGAGAGCCCGGCTGCGCCGCTACTCACTACCCATTGCGGAGGCTGGGGCGGCCCGGCGGGGCGCAGCGGCCTCGGCGCTGTCTTCGCTGGGGTCCCGCTGCTCAGGCCTCCGAGCCCGCTACAGACGCGCTCGGGCCAGCCGCGCGCAGGCCCCTCCCCGGATCACGTGGCCCCGCCCCCTGGCAAGGCCCCGGCCGTTGGCTGCCTGCGCAGCGGACGTCCGCCGCGTTGCCATGGCCGCGTTGCCATGGCCACTGCCGACGCTCACGTCTGTGACCGCCAACCTTGCTGGGGCGTTCGGAGCCTCTCCTAGGCCAAAGTGGCCGGGGCCTTCCCTCTCTGAGCACGTGTCCGAGCTTAGGGTCAAGAAGTGACAGTCTCCTTTACAGCCACGTTTGGCCCAGGACCCCAGGAGCCGGCCCGGGTTTCCATACCCCAGGCATGGGGCTGACTCGCCCAGAGAGCCAGATGAACCAAACAGCTTTTTATTTTGCTTCCATCTTATCAGAACCTATTGGATGTTATTTAGAATCTGTGATTCTTTACAGGTAATAGCTTATGAACTCTCCATTGTCTACGTACGATCCTTTAGCTTTTCCAAAATACAGAGATAAGGATTTTGTCCCCTGTACTAGGCTCTTTCTATCCCTTTTTCGACAGCGTGGTGTAAAGAAAGCGTACGTCTACGAAATCAGCCAGCCCTCCATTTTAATCCTTCTACTTCTTAACAGCTTTGGGCAATTAGCCTTTCTGACCTACATTGTAAAATAAGGATAATAACCATTTCCTACAGATGTGAAAATTAACGGAGAGGCAGACACAAAAAGGCCCTGAAATTTATTTTCCTTACTCAAATTTTAAACCCCTGCAAATTAACTTCTGCTCTAACATTTGCTCAAACAAGCTATTTCAAGTCTCTAATGACCTATAATCACCAAATCCAACAATCTGTTCTAATGCTTAGGTCTATGTCTAAGAAGGAAACAAAATACATGTGTGTATATGAGAAAACTCAACAGGCTCCTCTGAGCCCTTTCTCCACTAGGCGTTAGTTTGGTCTGTAAAGACTTGAGCAAACACTAACAGTTTCTAACAGCTCCATCTCGAGGAGGTATCTGCAGGAGAAAGCTCAAGGCTGCCAAGGAATTTACCATTTGTTTCAGCTAACACCTGAAGACAGGGTGTCTGTCTCCCAGTCTCCATCGTAGGGTAGGAGACTAAATTTCAAAAGCTCCACTTACCAAACTCAGATGGGTTTCATGTGGACAAAACCTTCCTTCCTGTTTCATCCTGTTTAACTTCCCCTACTCCATGAGCTATCAACTCACCCTGTTCCCTCATCTTCCCTTTAAACTGCTCAGTCACTTCTGTACAAATCAAAATTGAGTTTAGTTCATGCTGTCTTGTTTTCCCTACTGCAATAGTATATTACTGAACACCTTAATTAGTATCCGGCTTTATCTTTGAACACACTCACATACATATGTATATATACTCATATACATATATATGCATACATATATATATGGCTTGCATGGGTCTCTGCTCTACTTGAGGTCATCTGAGACAGCTCCAAGGCTGGAACTTGGCTTATCAGAAGTCTCTCTCACTAAGTCTGGTATTTGATGCTGGCTGTCAGCTAAGACTTCGGGTGAAGCTATCAGCTCCAACATCTCCATGGGGTCCTCTATGTGGCCTGAGCTCCATCACAACATGGCAGCTGGGTGCCAAGTCACGTCCTTGGAAGTGACGCAGCATCACTTTCAGTGCATTACATTCCTAGAGGCAGCCACAAAGTCCTGCTCAATTTCAAGAGGGAAGTGAAATAGAATCCACCTCTAGGTGGGGGTGTGGCAAGTTTCTGGAAGAGCATGTGGGACACAAAATAATGAACTGGTCACTTTGGGGAAATGCAATATGCTGTAGTCACAATCTGACATCCTATGACTTAATTCTTACCTCATTTTACTTTGTATTAGTCATTTTCAAACTTATCTCATCTCCCCTACTATAGCATAAACTTCTAGATGGCACAGAGTCTTAAGTTTTGCATCATCTACAGTAACCTGCAAAGTTGACCTATAGTTCTGACACTAGGTTGTGAGCTAATTTCATGAATTTAACATTCTTTCAATAAAGATGCACTAAATTGGAAATGTGATTGACAGAAGAGTAGCTGATTCTCTATATTAGGGAAGACACAGGGAAACAACACTAAAGTAATATGCCTTTATTAAAAGTTTTTAAAAATTAACTGATTTTGCAGTTGGTAGTGGGGAATAAGTCTGCTTTAGACTGTGCTTTATCAGATTTAAAAAACTGACAATGAATTACTACTTTCATAGAGTAATTTAGGAGTTGTTTGTGTAATAGTGTTATAAATATTGAGGACTTAAATATTTCTCCAAATTTTTCAAAAAATAGCCTGAACCCTAAGATAAGCTGAAGATAAAAACCAAATAGCCAAGTACATCCAAGAGAAATGTAAGTTAAGCCTCAAGACCCAAAAGTCTTCATCCTTAATCTGTGACCTCCTGTGTGACCCTATGATTTCTTTAAATTATAGATCCTCAATTTTGTAAAGGATGCTGTTTCTAAAGTCAATCAAGGAATTTTTTAAAATAATAAAACTTCGAAGGTAATACAGTCAGCTTAAAACAGGCTATGCTTTAGAATACAGTATGCTTTCTTACAGTGTATGTATGGGCAATGCAAAACTGAACCAAATGGTTCTTATAAGAATATTTTATTTTACTAAGAATAATATGTCATTTAAATAAAATTAAAATTTCTTCTTCGTTGTTAATATTTCTATTCACTGAAAACATAATTCGAGCTCTATATTTCATTGATGATGAAATTTAAGATATAAATGGGACATGTTATCCAATTTTTAAGAGGAATAAAGTAAAATATTTTTATTTTACCTTATCATATTTTTATCCCATATTTTATCATGGGGATATTTGATTTGGAATTCTTCAAATGTCTCTTCCTGTGAAGGAATTCAAAATGCTGACCCTTGTTGCTGTAGTGATTGAAAGTAAGAAGGTTAAGTTACAGGGGACACATTTCATGCCTTGAGTTGGAGAAGATGTAATAAGAAAGCATAAACAGACTTGTGAGGTGTAAAGTTACAAATTTGAAGAGTTCTAAACTAAATCTTTTTAAAAATCTAGTTTTCCATCTCTTATTTTGAGCTTAGACTTTTGAAATTTTTTAACTCAAGAAACCAAGAGGTCTAAAAAAAAATGATACTGTGCTTTTATTTTTTTTCTAGTTCAGTATACGTTGATAACCATTCTCATTAAATAGACATCTGTAATTTTACTGATTTACATGAGTGGCACCAAGTTACATGATTTCTAAGGCATGACGCAGAAAGGAAGCATTATGGTCATAGGAATAAAAGGGATGTGAATATCACAGAAATGTTAAATCAATACACTAATGCATGCCTTTAAGATGTGAATCATGAGTCTATTGCTGTGACCAGAACAACTTATACATTGATTCTGAAAGACACTACCAGTTGCCAGTAAAAGTGTACAGTGTCCCAGTACTTCCCCTATCATTTCTGAGAAAAACAGCGTCATGGCACAAGAATGGTCGACAGTAGAGCTTCTGCAGCACAAAGCCACATAAAACTGCACAGTTTGCTGCTGTTCAGTTATGCTTCCAGCGCTAAGTTTAATTTCAGAATAAGAGAGTGGGTTGGTGAATCCCCAAGTACCTGGCATTGGGAGGTTCCCACTGTCAGAGTTAAAGTGCTCCTTAAACGCCACAAATAAACATGATACTGCAGCAGGGAAGAGGCAAGACTGATTAACTGATTTCCGGGGCTGAAATCCACATATCAGACACCCAAAGTCAAAATATAAAGATATCACTGCAAGAACAGTTTAGGAAAGAAAGATACTATGGTGAAACAGACTACAAACCAATTTCATTATAGCTTAAACTCCTTAATACTATGCTAAAAGATCACACCTAGAGATTTTTATTTAACATATTTAAGAGTAATGGGTAAAACAATCTTAAAGAAAACAAATCAGAAATAATATAGTTTCACCAGTGTTT